CACCTTGGAAGGCAGGCCTGGGGATCTGCTTTGGAAAGTTCTCTGCTCACCTAGGTTCAACTCAGTCAGAAATGACTCCAGGGCACTAACAGCGAGGGTCAAGCTGTTGACTTTGTTAAGTGCCACGGAGTCGGTTTCCACTCAGAGCAACGCTGTAGAGGGTTTCCAAGAAGTGGCTGGTGGGTTTGAACACTAGACCTATGGTTAGCAGTCCAGTGAGAGGACGGGTATCAGAAAGGGTTTTCTGTTATCAGCTTTCCAGGACACATCTCTGTCTGTCCTTTGCATGTGCTTACTATTAATGAGTTACTGGCATTCCGAATCTAATATTAACTGTAAAGATACTTTGTATGACTATAAAATACACAACTTCTGTAGAGTAATTCCAAATTTAAGCAGCTACTGTTTTTAACCCCTGGGCTACCAAGATCTGGAGTCCTGGTGTGAGGCTGTGGGATAATGCAGTGGACCATAAGGTTGGTGGTTCGAACTTGCCAGCGGCTACTCAGAAACCCTATACAAGGTCGCTATGTGGCAGAATGGCACTTAACAATAACAGCAACAAGGGTGGGTGATATTTTAGCAGAGAAAGATACTAAAAGATATATCTGTTAGGTATCTAGGGATAAGCACCAGATAATAATGTGGTAGCAATATGAAGTCATCCATCAGATGATTAACATTGAGGAATGTAGGTCAGTTGATTGATAAAATCCAAAAGCCATTTAAACCATGGAAAGGAAATAACATGGCATGACACACTTCCTCATCGGAGACTTGGGCCAACACTATGAGTCCATAAACAGCTGACAAACTCTACTGCAGATGGACAAGGTCTCATTAGGGTAGTGCTTTATAAGCATGCCCAACCATGGCCAGCACTAGCAAATCAATCTATTTCCTCGGAAAGACTGCATTTTCTAGGCTAACAAGTATGAGGATCCTGTTGGAGTCGTGGACATTTTTCCAGTTGCATTTTCATATAAGTAAGAGAGAAATTTCTGAAGTTAATCATTCTGAGTGACAAATTGGACATTTACTCCTACATTCAGGAGTCCTGGTATGGCGCTGTGGGTTTATGCACTGGACTGCAAGGTCGGTTTGAACCGCAAAGTCAGCAGCAGTTCAAGCTTACCAAGGTGCTCCTGGGAAACCCTATACAAGGTTGCTATGGACAGAACTGACTCGATGGCACTTAACAACAACAACAACTCCTATATCCAACAAACATGATCTGTGAAAATGATAGGTTCCTCCCTCATTCGTTTATAAAAAATAAGCGGAAGGATTGTTAAGTGCCTTGACGTTGGTTCTGACTCATAGGGACACTGTATAGGGTTTCCAAGGAGCGGCTTGTGAGTTTGAACTGCCAATTTTGTGGTTCATAGTCCAGTGCTTATCCTAGTGCTCCACACAAGGACTCCTCGAGAGCTGCTGATAAAGTAACTACAACTGAGATGAATGGCACACAGGGGTACAGAGGGACAGAGGGACATACCAGTAATCAGGGAGAGGAGTCCTGCTGTAGTGCAGTAGGATAAGCACTCAACCAATTCGTTGGTTTGAACCAGAAGATTGACGGGTCAAACTCACCAACCACTCCTTGGAAACCCTACACCGGGTCGCTATGAGTCAGAACCAACTCGACTGCCCTCAACAACAGCATCAGGGAAAGTATCTCTGAAGAATTACTGTTTTAGTTGAAACTTCATGAATAAAACATGTTTGGCTGCTAACCTGAAAGCAGGAGGTTCTAGTCTACCCTGAGTTGCCTTAGAAGAAAAATCTGGGAATCTACTTCTAAAAAATCAGCCACTTAAAACCCTAAGGAACACAGTTCTACTCTGACACACGGGGTCACCATGATTCAGTGTGGACTTCAGTGGCAACTAGTTTAACTGGATTGACCCCTAGTATGATGCTGTAGGATCAGCACAAGGTTGGCAGTTCAAGCCCGGTAGCTGCTCATTAGAAACCCCATACAGAGTCACTATAAGTCAGAACAGACACTTAACAATTTATCTGGAGCTCGGTAATGATGGGCAGAGGTCCTGAACCAGGGAAGGTCATATTTGGTTGAAAATCAAGAGAGAATGGTGGTAGACCTCGGGGCGAGGAGGAAGATGGAAGCCTTGGGTCCATGTGAGGATAACAGGACAGCTTTGAAAGGTTAAAGCAGAAAAAAGACCTGAGCAATTTGGTTTTCAAAATACCAATCGACTTTCTGTTCAGAAAATGGGCCACCAAATGATGAAGAAAGGCTAGTCTCGAAGAAATCCTGACTGAGTATAGGGGTCCAGGACTGAGAAAAATGGGCAGAATCAAGAGAATATTTAGGAAATACAACTGCGAAAACTTAGTGACAGATTACATTCGGAGGGGAGTAAAACCATATGCCAAAGACTCCTTGTTTGAGCAAATGCCTCTGAAATAAATATAGACTACTTCATAAATTTCATAGATTTCACAACAAATATGTATATTTGCTTATGAAAGCTGCCTTAAACATTTCAATAGTGAGCAACTACTTTTTACTATGGATCTAAAAAGACTAAACTCTGACTTCCCAACAAAAACTGTGCAGGCAAGAAGACAATGAGATGGCATATACAAAACTCTGAAGAAAAAAAATTGTCAAACAAGAATCATACACCCAGCAAAGCTGTCCTTCAAACTGTTATGGTTGTTAAGTGCCATCAAGTCGGTTCCGAATCATAGTGACCCTGTATGGAGTTTCCGAGGAGCAGCTGGAGAGCTTGAACCACTGAACTAGCGGTTCAAACCGACCTTACAGACCAGCGCATTAACCTGCAGTCCCACATTTCCTGATAAACAGAAATTAAAGGAATTTCTAATGACCAGACCAACTTGAGAGAAAAACCTTCATAACTGACCATTTTTAAGTATTAAACTTTCTGTATATACAGAGACAGATGAATATACATAAATGAAATCATTACTATACTACAGTAAGTCAGAATTTTTTCCTTTAACCTAAATTCTCTTATTAACTGTGTTACTTTGGGCTTATCATTAACCTGTCTAGACTTACAGATTCATCATTTATCTGGGGGGGAACCTATTGATTAATATTTCTAATTTTTCTAAGCCTTAAGATTTTGCTCTCTACGGACAACTGAGGTTTACATGTTATGCACTGAGTTCAGGTGTCCTTATACCTGACTGGAATTGGCTTTCGTCCTCCTCCTCTGATGGATTTCTACCAGCTCAAATACAATGCCTAAGTCTTTCTTTTGAAAATGTTTCAGAAGTAGGTAGCTAAACGCTTTCTGAACAATGACTCCTCTGATGTGCTTTACTCCAGTGCTGTTGTTAGTCGTCTCGTGGATTGCGATCTCACATGAACTGCTCCATAGGGTTTCAAAGCTAGCACCTTGCAGAAGCAGATCTCCAGGCCTGGCTTCTGAGGTACCTCTGGGTGGCCTTGAACCACCCTTTCTACTAATAACTGAATGCTTAACTCCCCGGGGACTCCTCAAAACACCACTACAGCTTTAAAAAGGCATCTATTTAAAAAAAAAAAGAACCTACATAAGTAATTTACAATTGATTAAACATGATACCTATGAACACTGTTGAAGCTAAGTGCCATCAAGTCGGTTCATAGTGACCCTGTATAGTTTTTCTGAGGCCTCATGTTTCTACAGTGTAGTGGCTGGCAGGTTCGTAGTACGAACCTTGTGGTTCACAATCCAGTGATTATCGTATGGAGCCACTGCACTCCCTTATAAACACCAGTCTCCTGTTATAACCTTGTTCCCCTGATAAAACCAGATTTTTAGATCATTTTAAAGTTGTATGTGTTGTAGAGCATCACACACTTCTAGGTAAAGAAACTGCCTGTACTGGTAAAACCACAATGTTGTTGTTGTTAAGTGCCATCGAGTCGGTACCAACTCACAGTGACCTTATGCACAGCAGAATGAAACACTGCCCGATCCGGGGCCAACCTCACTACTGTTGCCACACTTAAGTCCATCCATGCTGCCACTTGGCCAATCCATCTCATTGGGGGTCTTCCTCTTTTTCTCTGACCCTCCACCTTACCAAACATGATATCCTTCTCCAACAACTGGTCCCTCCTGACACTATGTCTGAAGTATGACAGACGAAGTTTGGCCATCATGGCCTCCAAGGAGCACTCTGGCTGCACTTCTTCCAAAACGTATCTATTGGTTCTTTTGGCAGCCCATGGCACTTTCAATATTCTCCTCCAACACCATAACGCAAAAGCATCAATTCTTCTACGGTCTTCCTTATCCACTGTCCAGCTTTCACATGCATATGAGGTTCTTGAAAATACCATGGTTTGGGTCAGGCGCACTTTATTTAGTCCTCAGGCTGACATCATTGCTCTTCAACACTTAAAAAACAACACTTTAAAAAAGTATTGTCCAGCAGATTTGCCTAATAATACGTCGTCTGATTTCTTGACTGCTGCACAATACACCTTAGTTTAACCCAGAAAACCCAGTAGACTTCTTACTGTGAGTCATATTCTGGCTTAATTCTGGACCTTCGTGCCCTATCACAAACAACCAAAAAAATGAGAAATAAACAGGTGCCGCACAACTATCACCATGAGCTTTGGAAGTGAAGATAACCGGAAGACAACTACAGTCTACTTTATATCGGTCGTTATCCATAAGAATCTGCCAAAGGGCACATTCTCCGCGTGGAGGAGAGATATCTCCTCGAGGGGCATTGAATATGTTCCCAGTTTATACAAGAGAAAAGATGGAAATGGACTAGAAAAAGAAACGCTGTTTCACGACAGAAATCGAGAAGAGCCCAGTGAGGTCAGAAGAAGGAGACAAATGTAGGGACGGTGTCGATTGGTGATGGGCTCGAACACTGAGAAGTAGAACAGAAGATGAGGACGGTTCACGGAACGGGGGAGAGTCCGCTGTTCGGGGTCGAAGAGGATGGGACAGACGGCCTGCCTGCACACACCTGGGCTTGAGGAAAAAAGTCCTTACCTTGACTTTAGTCCGGCTGGCCTTGGCCTTGGCCCGGCGAGGGGCCCTCACCGCCTCAGCCATAGACCCGGCGGCGGCGGCGTCGCCGTTTGTTTTGTCAAAACTCAGAGCGTCCCGTCACCAGCCCAGATCCGGCCTCTAGACTGTCACATGATCGGATCTCCGCCACTCTTAAAAAAGGGGCGGTAACTCGGCGCCTCTACGGGTCTCGACGTAGAACAAATCGCTACAGAAGGCATTTTTCACTGGTGGATGGTGGCCCCGCCCACTCAGCGGGGCTCCACTCCCTGTTCTGGGCGTGCCGTGGACTTTGGCCTCTGAGCTCTGCGAGGTACCCAGATTCCGCGGGTGTGTAGACCGTGGACTACAACCCTTCAAGTTGATAAGTACCATCCATCTCCCAAGCTTAGCGGTGCCACACTCATTCCATACCGCGGGTTCGTTCGTACACTTCAGTCAAGTTGGCTTAAGGATCCTGGAGACAGGTGCTTGTCAATCTTATTTTGACTCATGTATCAAAATAGGAATCTGGTGTGGCGCTGTGGGTTAATGCGCCAGACTGCAAAGCAGTTTCAACTGCAGTGTGGGCAGTTCAAGCTCACCGGCTGCTCCTCGGAAACCCTATACAGGGTCGCTGTGGGTCGGAACTGACTCGACAGCACTTAACAACAACAACATCATTACCTAGCGTAGTAGTTACGAATCCGGCTGCTAACCTCAGGGTTGTTGTTGTTATGTGCCATAGAGTCGGTTCCGACCCATAGCGACCCTGTATAGGGTTTCCGAGGGTGTAAATCTTTACGAGAGTAGAAAGCCTCATCTTTCTCCCGCGGAGCAGCTAGTAGCTTCGAACCGCTGACCTTAAGTTTCGCAGCCCGATTCGTAACCACTACGCTACCAGAGCTCCTTAGAGGTTCGAAACTACTTGGAACTCCTGTACTGGGTAGCTATGAGAAGTGACTCCACAGCACTTAACAACAACAACATATCAATACCTGGCATGGCAGTGTAGCATAACCTCGAGGTTGGAGGTTCTAACCCACAAGTTGCTCCTTGGAAACCCTGTACAGAGGGGCTGTGAGGTGGTACTGACTCCACGGCACTTAACAACAACATGTCAGTACCCATCAGCCTAAATCTCTGGAGTGCCTCCAAGGAAGCCTCGAGGAGCAATCCATCTCACTGAGGATCTTCCTCTTTGTTGCTTGTTCTCTACCAACCATGATGCCCTTCTCAAGGGATTGGTCCCTCTCAATAACATGTCCGAAATACAGGAGACAAAGTCTCTCCACCCTTGCTTCTAAAGGAGCATTCTGGCTGTATGTATTCCAAGAAAGATTAGTTCTTCTGACAGACCATGATACTTTTAATATGTTTTTCCCAACACCACAATACAAACGTATTAGTTCTTCAGTTTTTCTTACCCATTTCTGATGCATATGAGGCAATTGAAAATAATATGACTTAGATCAGACACGCCTTAATCAAAGCAACATCTTTGCTCTTTAACACTTTAAAGAAGTGTTTGGAGGTAGAACTTATGAACTTTGCGTGGTGGTTAAGTGCTGTAGAGTTGTTTCCAATTCATAGCAACCCTGTATAGGGTTTCTGAGGAATAGTTGGTCAGTTTGAGCTGCCAACCTTTCAGTTAGTAGTCCAGTGCTTTTCTGATAGCACCACTTCAGAAACCCTAGGTTGTTGTTATTATCAATAACAACAATAGGCTGTTGTTATTGTTAAATTATTAAGTGCTGTTGAGTTGGTTCCAACTCATAGCAAAGAATGACTAGTGAGTTTGAACTGCCAACTTTGCTGTTCGAACCAACCTTGTGGTCCAGTCCTTATCCTACAGTGCCACACCAGGACTCCAGACACGTGCGATCTAATTTTGTAAGAATGGGTTGTTGTTAAGTACCATCAACCCATAGCAATAGGGTTTCCTAGGAGCAGCTGGTGAGCTTGAACAGCAATTCAAACCAATTTTGCATTCCAGCACATTAACCCACAGTGCCGCAAGGATGGATTATTGCTGTTAAGTGCCATCAAGTTGGTTTCTACTCCTAGTGACCCTGCATAGAGTTTCCAGGAAGCAGCTGGTAGGTTTGAACTACTGACCTTGGGGTTCACAGTCCATTGCTGATCCTACAGAGCCACACCAGGAGTCCACAAATTTGGGTAAAAACTTTCTGAATCATCCTTACAAAATTAGATCTCACATGTCTCTGTAGCCATCTAGTGGCAATTCCCATTAGTGAAACCTCTTCACATGATTTCCAGGAAATCATTCATTCTGCAAATGTTAAATTACTACAACTTATGTACATAACTAGGTCTGCGGCATTATTTCATCAGTCTTGATTACAAAATGCATTTTGTAAGACTGTGAAAGAATCATGTTACTTTTAAATTATTTCCATTTTCTTGAAACAATTAGCTGGTAATACAACTGTTGTTGAGTGCTGTCAAATAGGTTCCAACTCATAGTGACCCTGGTGTAGAGTTTCCAAGGAGCAGTTCGTGGGTTTAAACTGCAGACCTTGTGGTTTGCAGTCCAGTGTGGATCCTACAGTATCACACAAGTACATCAAATTTCTAGCTCACCCTATACTGATATGACCTTGACTGATTATTACATTAGATGACATCATTAAAAATTATTAGATAAGATTAGATTACATCCACAGGTATGGGGCAAGTATTCCTACACATATTTTGGGGGGACACAGTTCAATCTATGACAGTTTCTAAGAAGTAAAAAAACACAGATCTAAAAACTAAGAAGTAAGAAAAGTCTCTCTCTCTGTGGCCGACTTAGAGAATTTGTGTTGTAGCGCTGCAGGATAATGCACTGAACTGCAAGGTCAGTTTGAACCAAAAGGTCAGCAGTTCAAGCTCACCAGCCACTCCTTGAAAACCCTATACAGGATCACTATGAGTGGGAACTGACTGGATGGCAATTAACAACAACAGCAATGTGATGACTGGAACTGCGGTTGCCTTGGCAAGGCTAGGCTGAATGATTCTGTGGACTAAACATTCCCCACCCCTGCTGTGTAGGGTTTCCAAGGAGTGAGTTTGAATTGCCAGCTTTGCAGCTAGCAGTCCAGTACTTAGCCTGGACTCTGTACGTCTACAGTTGTTAAGTGCTGTGGAGTCCACACCAAGACTCCTAGGTATGGTGTTAAAGGATACTAGGGACATAAAAGAGTTCCACTAAACCTGACCAGAGTGATGTCTAGTCATCAGGGGTTCCTCGTATCAGTAAACCAGCTAGCAAAGAAAGGAGCTACTATACTGACAGCAACAAGTGATTTTCATGAGGAAATGGGCACAGATGGAGGCAGAGGGGAAATATGTGTGCAACTCATGGAGTCCACTCACTGGTAGGCTTCTTCGTACTCCCGTAATTGGTGAGAAACATAAATTGGCAATTTCAGCAAACAGGTCTGGATAAGAACCTTATAACCAGGGGCTAAGGAGCCCAGTGGCACTAAAGAATATGAATTGTTGGACAGCTAACTGCAGAATTGGCATTTCAAAACCATCACCTGTTCCAAGGGAGAAAGATGAGGTTTTCTGCTCCTGTAAAAATGTACAGTCTTGAAAACCCTATGTTCTTGTTAAGTGCCGCTGAGTGATTGTGACTCACAGCAACCATGTATAGGGTTTCTGAGGAGCAGCTGGTGAGCTTGAACTGTTAACCTTGCAGTTCAAACCGACCTTGCAGTCCAGCACATTAACCCACAGCACCATACCAGGACTCCTTGGAAACTCTATACAGGGTCTCTATGAGTGAGAATCAACTCGATAGCAATAGGTTTCTAGTTTTTAAGGGATGATGTATTCCACCTGCCAAGCAACCTATACTAGCAGTAGAACTAACCAATTGTGAGAGGAACCTAGAATGCGTGGTAGAGAAGAGATGATGGAATAGCAATTATGGACTCAGCACCAATTTCAGCAACAGAGACTAGTGTTTGTCTCACTACACTTCCTGTTTTGTTTGCATGTGTTTGTTTTGGACGTTGTGACTTGTATTGACAGGATGAAGTAAACATAATGTGGGGCACAGGTGGATCTGAGCAGAGCAGGTGGCAGACACTAAATACCCATTACTCCATCCCAACTTCCAACACCAGTAATTGGGTTCCTGCTCAGGGACTTTCTCAGACCACCAGAGCCCACTCTGTCAGCACTCATGGCAGGCTAGAAATGACTGCCCCAACCAGGGACTAATGAGAGCTGATGAATAAATATGCCAGCTCCCTCACCACTCAGGTGAGCTACCTGAGGTGTGTATTCAGCATTGTTTCTCAGGGTTCCTCAACAGGATGAAGGTCCAGTTGGTCACCCTGAGAACTTGACTGATAACACCTGTATCTGGGATTGCTTCCCTTCCCTGTCTCACTTCCCCTATTTCTCTACAGGTGCTTCTCGGGATCACTCCTGCACATAAATTACTTGCACTGTAATCTTTCTCTCAGAGTCTGCTCCTGGTTGGAGCCAAATGAAGATACCATCTACAAAATTGCTTGTATTTACTAAACGTAGCATTGGTACTTGAACTGGCTTTGCTCACTTTACATTCCTTAAGTCTCCCACAACTGGCTGTTTCTCTGCTATGTTCTCTTATAGGCCACTGATTCTTTCCAATGGACTCATATTTACTATGTGCAAGATGCTAGGGACATGTCACTAAAAAGCATAGACGGGCCCTGCTCTCAAGGAAATAAATGACAGTCTAGGAGGGAGGAGAGATTTTTAACAATGAATTTCAAGAGTGAGTCAGTATGGAGTGGATTGTAATCATTGCAATGAAACAAAATATGATAGCAAGAATGTAAAGCTGGTGTTCTCCCATGTAAACTATCACATCAATCACAATTAAAAAAAAAAAAAAAAAAGGAGTGAGTCATGTAGGCTGAGTGAAATAAATCATTCACAAAGGGACTGATATCATATGGATCTACTTATCTGAAATATCTAGGGTAGGCAAAGTATATAAAGACCAAAATTTATTAGTGGTTACCAGGGCGGCAGTCCTACTGTGGTGCCATAGGATAAGCACTGGACCACAAGGTTGGTGGTTCAAATCCACCAGCTGCTCCTCGGAAACTCTATACAGGGTCAATATGAGTTGGAACCAGCTTGATGACGTTTAA